AAGCTGCCGCCTGCTGCTCGCTCTGCCCTGACGGAGTGTACCATATTCTTCTTAATAAGACATCCCCAGAAAATAAGATCTAGTGCATCTTTGGGAGCAAAAATTAATATAAGACACTGTCTTATTTTTGGGAAAACACGGTAGCTCCCAGGTTTTTAGCCTCCGGCTCACACATTTTTGCCTTCGCTCAGGGAGGATGTGGCTCCAGAGCCAACTGATTTATGCAGGAGCCAAATCGCTCGCTCACAACTTTAATGCCAGATTCTTTGCTCACCAGAAGACTCCACAGCTTACAGGGATGATGGGAGCAGAGATTTGGCGTTGCAGGCGGTGAGGTTGGTGGATGGCCTCCCTGCTCACGTTCCCTCCTGTGCTTTGACCTTGCAGTTGGCAACGGCAAAGGGGCCGGCAGCTCAGGGTCCTCAGACGCCAGTTCCAGCTCCGAGTCAGAGGGGCCGCCGCCGGAGGGCCAGAAGGCCAAGGCCCACAGAGGGCCGCCGCCGCCGCCGCCAGCAGAGGCCGAAGGGGAGAGCGCCAGCGGCCTCATCACGCAGGAGGGCATCCACATCCCCTTTGAGCACCACATCGAGAACCTGACCGCCGAGCAGGGCTCCGCCCTGTGCCACCACCCGCCCCTCGGCAGCCCCGAGGCGGCCCTGGAGACGGTGGTGTGCGTGCCCGTCCCCGTGCAGATGGGCTCTGGCCACGGGCCCCTGTTTGAGAACGTCGCGCGGGAGGCGCTCGGGGAGGGGGTGGCCGGCTGCCCCGTGCAGGGCGTGCTGCAGGGCTCCCAGGTGATCATCATTGCCGGGCCCGGCTACGACGCCCTGGCCGCTGCCGCCGCCGCTGAGGGGCTCCAGCTGAACGTCACCAGCGCAGGAGGGGAGGAGCTGCCCTGCGCCATGATCGAGGGGGTGGCGGCGGCCTTTGCGCAGGCGGAGCCCGAGAGCCAGCAGCTGAGCACCACGGAGGGCGTGGAGTACGAGGGGACAAAACAAGGTAGCTTCCGCCACCCACTGTCTTCCCCCTTCTTCAGCGGGCGAGGCAAGATCCGTGTGTGTGTGTCCGTTTGCACGCGGGGGCCTGGCTGAGGCTCCTTGGGTGGGTGGGTGGTTGGGTGAGCGAAGGAGGGGCCCCCAGAGCTGCCAGCCCCAGGTTCCTCCCGTGGGCCGGTCTGTCTCCTGGCTCCAGTGTAAGTCAGCTGGCAGACGGCGGCTTGTCGGAAGTGTCCCTTTTAGAATACAAAATGCGCTCTCTGAGCTTCCCCATTAGCACACAGAAGCCAGGACCAAGGAAGCCCTCGTGAACAGGTTCTCTGCAGTTAACCAGTCCACGGCATTTTAGCTCGCTCACGTAGCCACACGGCTGCCCTCTGGCCTAACCACAAAAACCTGGCCAGGAGCTCACCGGCCCAGTCACTCGGAGGCGATTCTTGCTGTGCGTGAGAATGTGTGGGGGAGATTTGTGAGCCTACTTACAAGAATCGAGGCCTCACAGAATGCAAGCTCCACACCCTTCCCCCTTGGAGAAGCACGGGGGGGCAGTTGTGGCCTTCTTGCTCCCACGCTCAGGTCCTCTCCACTAGTGGCTCCTCAGGGCCTCTAAGCCTGGCCTGGCCCCTATTGAGCTTCTGGCCTGCAGAGAAGCCACTCGCCTTTCTGACCCCAGCAGGTGCCCCAGCTGACCTGTTTGGTGTAGTGGTTAAAGTGCATGTGAGAACCGGGTTTGATTCCCCATTCCTCCACATGCTGCAGCTGCTGGTGTGACCTTGGGTCAGTCACAAGTTCTCTCAGAGCTGTTCCCTCCAGAGCAGTTCTGGAAAGAGCTCTCTCTCAGCCCTGCCCACCTCACAGGGTGTCTGTTGTGGGGAGGGGAAGGGAAAGGAGTTTGTAAGCTGCTCTCCCTTGGGTAGTGAAGGGCGGGGTATAAATCTAGTCTCCTCCTCTTCTTCACACCAGTTTGGTGTGGTGGTTAAGAGCATGGACTTTAATCTGGGAGAACCGGGTTTGATTCCCCACTCCTCCACTTGCACCTGGCGGGATGCCCTTGGGCAAGCCGTAGCCCTGATAAGAGCTGTTCTTGAAAAAGAGCAGTTTCTGTCAGAGCTCTCTCAGCCCGACCTACCTCACAGCATGTCTGTTGTGGGGAGGGGAAGGGAAAGGAGATTGTAAGCCGCTCTGAGACACCTTTGGGTAGTGAAGGGCCATGGGGTATACATCCAGTCTCTTCTTCTTCATGTTTCACTTATTTATTGATGTCACTTCTGTCTCGCCTGCCTCTCGGACAGAGTGAGTCCATCCAGTTGACAGGATGGGGCATTCTGTGACCAACGCAACAGGAATTCAGGCCGTAGAACCCACCAGAGTTATGGAAACAAAACGGAATCAAAGCTTTACGTCTTAATGTGGCGCATTAAATGATGCAGAAATTACGTGGAAGGATCCTAGTTTCAGCAAGCTGAAGCACGGCAGCGTAGACCAGGGTTCCCTCTAAGCTGAGTTAGTGTGAGCTAGCTCCCCATTTTTTAGCCTCCGGCTCACACATTTGTGTCTGAGCGCAGGGAGGCTGGCTCCAGAGCAAGCTAATTTATGCAGCAGCCAAATGGCTGGCTCACAGCTTTTAATGCCAGGAGCTCACAAAGTAGAATTTTTGCTCACAAGACTCCACAGCTTGGAGGGAGCGTGGGTGTAGACCACTGTAAATCCTAATAATCTTTTTCCAAGTAACTTTGTGAATCGTTTAGTGCGGTGCAGCTCTCTTGCCTGCACAGAAAAGCCTTCTGGAATAATTTGGTTTTGCGTAGTTTTTGGGAAGCCGGGGGGAATGTAACAGAAAAACTGCCTGCTGCGTGTGCAGAGAAGGCTCGTGGGCAGTGTTCCCTCTAAGCTGAGTTAGTGTGAGCTAGCTCACAGTTTTTTAGCCTCCGGCTCACACATTTTTGTCCTCGCTCAGGAAGGAGGGCTCCAGAGGAAACTGCCTAAACGTGGAGCTTGAAACACATTTTCAGCTGCGCATGCATTGAATGTAACAGAAAAACCGCCTGCTGCGTGTGCAGAGAAGGCTCGCGGGTGCCCTGCGCACCGACTGCGCTTGCCTCCACTGTGTTTGCAGGGCTGGATTCCTGGCCGGGAGAGGGGGGGGGTGAGAGGGGCCTGCCCTCGAGGGTCGCCTGGCTCCAGCACGGCTCTTCCATCTCCTGCATTCGATTTGTCAGAAAATGAGGAGCTGCTGGAGCTCAAGAAAGAGGAGCCTCAGCCCCCGGAAGAGACAGACCCCCCCAGTGACTTGGAGGTGGCCGGTGACGGTGCGATTGGGGAGCCGGAGCCCGAACCCGAGGAGGAAGAGGAGGAGGCAGAGGGCCACCACGGATCCTCCATCATCTACGAAATCCCAAAGGAGCCGGAAAAGTGAGTGAGTGAGCCGGAGGGGCTTCTGGCGGCCCTGTGCAGGCCCCGCGTGGTGGGGGAGGGCTCCGCTTTCCCTCAGGCTCTGGGGAAGGGGCATCGCCAGCAGGCTTAAAGGTCCACCTCAGCACCCCTGGAAGACTCAGCGCAGTTTGACAAATAACACATGACAGAGACAGACTCAAGAGGGGATGGGATAAGCATATGGAGCAGAGGTCCACCAGTGGCTATGAGCCACGAGGTCTAGATAGGAACTCTCGGTCTGGGGCAAGGGATGCTCTGTCTTCTTGGTGCTTGGGGGCGGAGGCAACAGTGGGAGGGCGTCTAGTGTCCTGGCCCCACTGCTGGACCTCCTGAGGGCTCTTGGTATTGGACTGGATGGGCCATTGGCCTGATCCAACACTGGCTTCTCTTATGTTCTTATAAGAGGGAATCAGATAAGCATATGGAGCAGAGGTCCATCAGTGGGTCTTAGCCACAAGGTATAGGTAGGAACTCTCAGTCTGGGGCAAGGGATGCTCTGTATTCCTGGTGCTTGGGGGGGGGGCAACAGTGCGGGAGGGGTTCTAGTGTCCTGGCCCCACTGCTGGACCTCCTGATGGCACCTGGAATTTCTGGCCACTGTGTGACAGGGAATGTTGGACTGGAGGGGCCACTGGCCCAATCCAACATCGGCTTCCCTTAGGTTCTTATGAGTTTCATTTTCGGTCCTGGCCCCCACCTGGTGGAACGAGCTCCCACTTGAGATCATGGCCCCGCGGGACTCAGGACAGTTCCTCAGGGCCTGCAAAACGGAGCTGTTCTGCCAGGCCTTCGATGGAGGCAGGGGACGCCCAGTCACATGGCCTCCCCTGCAAAGCGGCCCTGCAAGGTGGACCTAGTGGAACTGTTACGATCGTCGTCTATCCAGCTGATCGACCCTACAGAAAATTGTGTCACCATTTTAGTTAAATCTTAATAATTTTAAATTTTATTGATTATACTGTATGTAGAATTTTATCGATGACATTGTGAATGGGATCGTGATGTTGCCCGTCCTGAGCCCACGAGCGGGAATGGGCGGGCTACAGATGCAGTAAATGAATATCCTCATCCTCTTCTCTGCAGCTCTGAAATAAGGATTCTGGACAGACTGCTCTCCGTTACGCTAGACTGGCTGCCTGGTGGGAACCTTTTGGTGCCGCCTGTCTAGATTCTTCTTCTTCTTACTATTATTATTATTTACTAGATTTCTGAATCGCCCAGCCCCACGAGCAGGCTCTGGTCAATTTACAGCATTAAAACAGATAAAATACATTCGACACGATAAAATTATTACAATGCACTAATAAAACAACCAAACCAGATGGCGACCGATCCCTCTTTTGCCGGCTGCAGGGGCTGGCTTTGCAGGGGCCCAGATGCCTGGACAGGGAAAGCGATGGGCGTAGCTGTTTCCCATTTGTTCTCCTTGGATGGCTCGTGACCGCCCTGTGGACAGACTTCTCTTCTGTGTCTCTCCCTTTAGGAGGAGGCGGAGCAAGCGGGGTCGCATGACAGATGCAGACGGCATGCTGGAGATGTTCCACTGTCCCTACGAAGGGTGCGCCCAGGTCTACGTTGCGCTCAGCAGTTTCCAGGTATGGCTTCACTGTGCCCGGCAGTGCCGACTTCCCAGCTGCATTCCAAGGCGGCAAGTCTGACCTGTAACCGAACCAGGGGAGCGCTTTTGCATTGTACAAACCCAGCCGGGGCTCCGTCGCTGTTCCTTTCTGGTCACGTGGGGTGTGGAGGCAAGCCTGAGGGGAGCCCCTCCTGACGTTCCCCTTCCCCTCGGAGAAAGGGCTTGGCACAGCCTAAAGGAAGGAAGGGTTTTACAGGAAGGAAGGGTTGCCTCAGTGCTTAGTTCTTGTGGCCCTTTCTTACACACCCAGGAAAATGCCGATCGCCACGTTGGGGTCAGGAAGCAATCCCGGAGGGGTTTTTAATGTCATCCAGGCGTGGAACGGTGGTCACTGCGGGAGTGGAGGGGGAGATATTTGTGGATTTGCTGCCTTGTGCAGGGGGTTGGACTAGATGACCCCGGAGGTCCCTTCCAGCTCGATTCTATGGCAGAGGGGGCCGCGCAGCACTGTCCCCAAGCCCCTCCCCGCTTCTCTGCCAGCCACTAAACTGGAGCCTGGGGTGGGAGGAGCCCTGGAGCTTCCCAGGTAACGCCCTCGTGTGCGCTTCTCTCTCCTTCCTGGGTTCAGAATCACGTCAACCTGGTTCATCGGAAAGGGAAGACGAAGGTGTGCCCCCACCCCGGCTGCGGCAAAAAGTTCTACCTGTCCAATCACCTCCGGAGACACATGATAATTCACTCAGGTGTGTTGCCGGTCCCCGCGGTTCTTTGGCTGGGTGGCAGGAGCAGCGCCAGGTGGGCTTGGTGGGCTGGCTTTCTCCCTCCTGGTTGCAGAGTATTTTACTTATTTATTTATTTATTAGATTTATATGCCACCCTCCTCGCTGTGGCGGGCTCAGGGTGGCTCACAACATAGGTGTAAATATACATTAAAACTCCAAGATCACGGGTCATTTCATAGAAAAAGAGGTGCAGGAGCTCATTAGCATGATTCATTAGCATGACTCGTTTGCATATGCCTCGCCCCCTGACATCCCCGGAAGTGTGTCAGAAGGCAACACCCACCGCTCAGGATCCACTGGACTGTTTTGGATTGCTAGCTATTGGGGG